GCCTATGCATTTCTTGCAACAGAAGTTCAGCATTATTTTATTATAATGCATGTGCACCAGTATTTTGTTTTGTTGCTCTGTGTTCCGAGTCAACTGCACTGCCAAGGTACATAGATGGGTTCGTGAATATTTGTTATGGCGCATCAATTTGCCAAAAGGATTATAATAATTTTACAGTTACTGAACATCGCTGGAGTTGTGGTGTTCAGCAAGTTTGCTTTTTGAATTCGCAAGTAACCGTACGTGGGCAACTGTGGGTGCAATACATTCATGTGTTGAAACGTTTAGGTGTTCAGTGGAAAGCAGCAAGTGACGAGAATTCATCTCTTTTTCTAGTATCTTTCATAGCTTGCTGTGCAGATTTGAAATGTGAAGTCCTGGGACTTGTTTTGGTCCACTTGAACTGCCATATTCAGAACACTGCTTTTAGCAGGCGTCTTTTTCAACATTACATAGGGTTTAATAGTAGGTTCACACATTTGAGTATAATGCAGGGTAGCAAACCGGATGTGCATCTGGTTAACCTCCCTGCCTTTCCTTGCATCTTTATCTCTCTTGTGCACTTGCATTACCTTGTCCCCGTTTACAAAGTTGTCCTTAACTGCATGTTTGTTGAGCGAGCTTTGATGTTATTTTCATAACATCGAAGTTAGACTGTTTTTCAGTTTTCGGGTTGTATTTCTGATTTATCACTTACTGTGCAAATTGATTAGCTAAAAAGTAATAAAAGTAGATTTGATGGTGTGTGGTGTCATACCTATTGTCAGCATTGCTTTATACATTGTGCATTTGCCAAGTGCTTTGAAAAGGCAGTGCTATATTTTGTGTGTGTGTTTTTTCTGCATTTTTTTATCTTATTTTTTCTTGTGCTAATTTATGATATTTGTCAACTAACCAAACTGTCTTCTCCAATATTACCGACAGAACATCGTTATTGCTGCGTAGAGCATCACAATAGACTTATCAAGGGTCGGCTTCAGAAATTACAGCTTCTGGCAGAGATTTTTTTCTGAAACTGGAAGAACTCATGCCAGTCTCTTTGAACGAAGCATTGGGGTCACATTTTGTTTGGTTTAATATCAATCTTTCTGTTTCTCACAATCGTTCAGTTTTCTTTGTTTAAAATTTTGCCTTCACAGCTGTGATTAGACAGAATGACTACGTAGATCCAGATGAGTGAAGGTTGAAATTGATCATTAGGAAGTGTGGCCCCAGGTTCTCATGGCCTGCGGGTGTTTAATCGGATGGCTTGGTGCACAGCTGTCCGATAAATACCTGACATCCGATGTACCAGATGTCATCCTCCTCAGTCTCCCAGTTAAAGTGACATGTGTATGGGCACTGGGGGGTGCAGGAGTACTTGCCCTTCGCCTAGGCCACACAAGCATTCCTTCCTTTCCCAGTCACAACGAACACGTGTTTGCACCCTCCCTAGAGACAAATCCTGCCAATACCCATGGTTGGTCATCGCTCTATGTAAGGGAATTGTGCTGTTATGCTGTTACCAGTTCACTTGGAAAGTCAATGTAAAGAAGTACAGCAGCTGAAAGTAGAAATGTGCCGATCGTCATTAATTTTTAGACGCGAAAAAAACTGCACGCACTTCGCAAGAACGCTGAGGGACAACAAGGCACAATACCCCCATGTGGTCTTCCCTTTCCATGCCTTTATAATATACTCGTTCTTGCTTTGTGGTGATCAAGCCGCTAGCTTGTTATGTGTTATTGAAGCTTTAATTGAATAGTGGGTACTTTTATTATAGTTTTGATTAACATTAAATTGTTGACATTCAAGGTTCATAATGGTTACAGAGCTTCTGCCATACTATGCACATCGAAAAGTATGCAGAGCAAATAGGTAGCTGGAAAAGCTAGCATTCTTTGGAGCAAGCAGTCAAACGATCCTTGTTCGAGGGGACAACACAGAATTTCCAAATGATGATGGAATAACTGCTTAACTGTGTTTCACAACATTGTGCAATAATTTACTATTGTTAACCATTTACTACTGTTAACCTCATAGTAGTAATGAAATAAAATTTCTAAAACATCTGCAAAATCTCCTCTCCACCCCCCCCCTCCCCCAATGTATGTCGTCTGCATGTAGCGTCCAAACGTGACAGAAGATGATGAAAACGTTCAGTGTCAAAATGACTAGCTATAGTTGAAGAAAAAGCATTTAAGGCTGATGCCTACGTGTTGTAGAAGGAACTTGTGTTCATAAGGGTGGTGATCCTCATTCATTAACCTGAAATATTCTATGTTTAACTGCTTTTTAGCAACACATATATGATGTGCTTGGCCTAATAAAGCTGTTCTCCACTGTTTTCATGACTGCATGTATGTTGTTTTGATGGGAAATAAAGACACTTTTGACAATGCACTTCAGAGTGTAAAAAAGCTTTGCTTTATTAAATATATGCTCAAATTTGCACCTTCAGCAACTTCATGCTACACACAAAACATAGGGTAGATTTGTTGCTTGCCGTTACTAATGGTTGGTAAGTGTGCCAGACGGGTATGGTATAAATGCCATCCTGGGTCAATTCTGATGTAGCTGGCCAAATCCGAAATCATTATTTTTTGCACATAGCACAAATAATATTGTAATGTAATACTCTTCTTTTTCTTGAGGTAGTGCAAGAATTATCATTCGCAGAGAATTTCAGGTGACTCTGGAAAGTGCTGAAGTAGTGTAAAAGGGTGAGCTCAATGATTCATGTTCCATTTTCGGCAGAATGACATTGCACGAGTAACAATAACACTGCAAGGTGGTGTGTGTTGAATCACTCCACTTCGAATGAAGTGAGGAATGTTTCATACTGGCAGTGTGATAGCATGATAAGAGTGCAACAAAACTTTTAAAAGAGCCTTATGGCACAGCCATGCACAAGCATCTGCGTAAAGGTCCTCGCAGTGCATATTCCTACTGTCCAGACTGCATGAATGAGATTCATGTGGGACGCACTGCAATTTGCCGTTACCCTCTTCAGGTTTTAAATGCCCTTGATTGGCCACTGGAGCGGTTGAGAAAAGCATCACAAAATACTTGAAACCTGCTGTGGGCCTACAGCTGTTCAGTGCAAGCAGAAATGCACTGCCCAGTTCAGTGCATAACAAAGCCCACTGCAAATAATCAGTCCCGTAGTTCATGTACAATGTAAAGCTTTACAAAAAGTGTAAAAAAGTAGAAATTGTAAACTTCACAAATATGAGATTTTTCATGGACGGAATAGAAATGAACTACATTGCGGTTGTCTTGGATTGCTGTTGCAAAAGAATGCAGCGATTCTCACTGCAAATATCGTTTCATGCAGACATAACCAGCGAGAGGACTGCAGCTTCAAGTATTTTAACCAACATGGGAATGACCAGAAACACTGTGAACAAAATATTCTGCTATTGTGATGCGGGCAGCTATTGGTTGGCACAGCTTGTGCTTGAGCTGTTAACATGGTTCTGTTTTACTACAGCAGCATAACGCAAATGCCCACTGCATACTCTGCCAGGCATGGTTTAAATTGGCTGCCTTGACACAAATTATAACCGGTTTGGCTAAAAGTGAATGCACACTTTCCGACTCATTTCTTAATGCTCCGTTTTGTAGTCTGATTTGCTGCATTGTTTTGCAGCAGACAAATTTCTACTGCAGAGTAGTTCATTGAATTCAATAAAGGATTGCATTGTTGCATGCATCACGTAATTTGTGTGGCTGACACAGTAACTTGCAAAAATGTTAACTATGTAAAGAAAGAAAACGACTGTAGGTATCAAATTTTCCATTATGATAAGCTTTAAGAAAGTTAATGCAGAAAACTGTGAACCAAGCTTCACATTCATTTCTTTTAGCAGGTCACATATTTCCTTCATTCCCATGCTGTACATACACTGCTCTTATCCACAATAGTGCCACGAAAGCCTCCAGTTATTTGTACTAAACTGCGTGAGCAGTGCGAATGGCTGCTTGGTGTATATAGATGCACTAAACAATACCGGGGAAAGAAGTAAAGCATATAGATGTTACAAAGGTGAATATTCATCCCTATAACCTACACCACATTCACTACTTATACAAATGCCGCGTGAATAGAGGAGCAAGATAACTGCAAGGTTCGGCTGTCTTAAGACAGTGGCTTTTTCGAGTTTTGCAGAGGTTGTTTTAGAGAAGATGCAGCTTGTATGACCTTTGCATGCAGTATTCTTTGCCTGTTTTGTCAAGAATAAATCTGGAGCACATATCTGAAACCATGTTAGACAAGTACAGTATTTGCAAAAAGCAGAATGATGGTACTCATGGTCAGCGTTATGGTACAAAAGCATGCATGTTATTAAACTGCATTCGCTGTGAAGTGCCACCTCTGGATGAAACTTTAGCGCAAATGAATGACGAGTTTATCCTGAACATTCTTATATACCTGGCACTTACAATAATGGAATAGTTTGAGGTGAAAATGTGAACACCATGCTCACCTAATACCTCATGAATAAGGCACGATAGCCCTGCTTGCACCGGGAAGGTTCTTAAAACATTATCGCAAGCAGAAAAGTAAGCCAGATCACTGTCTTTGCCCCAAGGCCGACAAGCGGTCTGGAAGTTAACACAGACAAGCGAGCTGCACTTTTTTTTTCTGCAATAGTATGCACTATATAGGTGAGGGCGAGGCGGTGATGTATGCTTCGCCCAAAATAAAGAAAGCGTTCGACAATGAATAACTAACCATAGTAAATGGTGGATGCTATCCCCATATGCAAACCTCTGTACCAAGAACTGCACATAGTTTTTGCCCACTTCACTAGAGGTGCCTTATAATATTTTATGGGGACATTTTCTTGTGCAAGTTACAATGTCGTCATGCCTAATCCTATAGTGCTTCATACTCCAAGCAGCATACTGTCCTCGCGGATTGAAATGCGACGTGAAAATTTTCAGTAAACTATTGATATGCACAACTGCACAAGACAAATACATCATGTAGCTATAAATCTGGCTGCTAAAGGTGATGGTAGTTCTGATGCAAGCATTTTAATTGAAATGACAGCAATATGACACGAAAACTGGCGCATTCAATCCGTGAGTACCGAACACCATTTTGTCAGAAGAAACAGGGCAACCCGCAGCATGCTTGCTGCCAACTGCTAGCTGCTTTGTGCCACTTTTTAGACTAGTAGCACTAAAAAGCTCTAGAGAGTGATGGTGATGCTAGTTCAGCCTTTCCTTGCAGCAACACAGCACCGTAGAACTAACTCTGCACAGGGAGCTGCACATCAGTCTTTGTTCTCTGTGTGGTCTCTTGTGTTCTCTGGCACTGTTATGCAGCATGTATGGACTAAATAGACCAAAGGTATGTCTTCACTTCTCCAAAGGATCCCATTAGTTGAATATGCCAACTCAACAGCAGCTGCAAACATCAGAATCGGCTGCAATTGGGTCTGCAGTGGCTCTTTCATCTAATAAAAGCAGTACTTGGCAAAGCATCCTCACATTAGTTACATCCTTTTTCTCACTTTTAGCGTGTCCCTTGCTGTTGGTGTGCCTCTGCTTTCTTAACTCGAGAATTTTCAATGCCATTAATATGGCTCCTGAGCATGTTCTTTGCACTTACGAGAAGATGGGAGTAGAAATTGGATGTGTTCGTGAAGGTATGTGCCTGCCCAGTTTTGCCTGCAGTCTGAACAGCTGGATGTAAAATTATGGGTACAAAATCTGGAACTTCGGCTCCTGAAGGTCACGGACCACCTGGTAGTGCGATACGACACACATGAAGCAGTAGACCTGCTGAAGAAGAACAAGCAACAAAATATTAGATCTTAATGCTATATTTTAATGTATGCGGTTGAAAAGCTACTCACGTGAACACCATCGATGCACCATAGGATGATAGCAGCCAGAACGGAGTAAAGCTGCAAGAAAAACGAGGGGGCATAAGAGAGTTGTTTTAGGATTCTTGAAGATTCTGGAATTATCTTACAATACTGCCGTAACAATGGTGGATTTCACCCACTGTCGAAAGGGCATGTTTCTCTGACAAAAATATTACAAAGTCCTGACGACTGTGCTGTCTAATGAAGCATCTTGAAGCATAAGCTGTCCCGAGAAGAGGACATAAAAAATTGGCATGTGATGCACACACTAAATGTTTCAAAAAGTGATGTTTAGACTTGGAAAGCATGTTGGTGATTGTGGCTAAACTGTCAGGACTTTGGGTTCCTGTGTTGGAGTATGGAGGTTTGATACCACCATACCTTAAACAATGATTTACATAATCACAAATGGACTTTTGTCACTTTAAGATATCTAACAGAAAGCAGTCTGCTGAGCTTATGTGATGGAGTCCCAATGACTGTGAAGGTGTAAGTAAAAGGTGGCACGTGGTGTAGAAGCATCACTTTTTTAAGTGAGAGTTTTGATAAGCTCCCCTGTAAAGCATCCACCCTAACTGCTGAGACATCATAACTGTCACATTGTAAAAGAAATGCGATTTCATACTTAAAATGGAAACTTAACACTGAACACTGTTTACACATATGTTATTGCATACTTTAGAGATTGTGTGTTGCCTTGTTCCAGCCTAGTTAAATTTGACACTTTTTTTATAGTAGCGAGCAATGTAAAGCTCAACACAGTGTTTAGTAATCAATTGCTAGGAGTGTAACCAGAAATATTTATTTTATTTTTGAGGTGGAGTGTCACTATTATTTACGTACCAAGTTCATACGTGGGTTTGTATGTGTGTGTTACAAAGAAATGCGAAATTGAAAATTTTAAGGTGGGGGGGGGGGGGGGCACAGCTGAACCTTCTCAACTCCCTTTTTTCTTCCTGGCTATGCCAGTAATCACTGCACTGTGTGAATTTGTCCTGCATCTCAATATCTAACAAGTCCTTTTTCCAATATCTTGAGCAGGTAGTGTACGTGTGGACTGAGTAGCTATATAGTGGCATAACTCCTAGTACCACCTAATGAAGCACATTAGGGTGTTGCTTTTCATTACATAGAGGTTCATTACTCACATATCAACATGCTTATTCGCTACACAATTTCATAGGAATGTGTGCCTGCACTGAAGGGTTCTACACATTATTACAAGTCAATTCACATAATCTGTACATACAGTCAAACATTTGCTTCTTGTGGGACTTAAAAGAGCAGTTTGTAGATCTTTCAACCAAGCAGAGATATGCTAGCTAAGGTCAAGTTGTTCTAGTGGAGTTCACAAACACACTTACATTTCTGTAATAGCGGCCAATGTACCACAGTCCTACAGCAATCATGAGAAGGATTTCGATGACAACAGATATCATCCATGGGAAGAAGAGGCAACGGTTATCCTACGAACATGCAAAATTTGTCGTTATCGTCCCGGCAGAGTGAGCTACAAAGCAAGCAGTCACACTCCAAGCCGGTACCAATAACAATTACGTACGCATCCTGCAACACTACAGCCTTTCGCGAAGCAGACCAGCATGTCCACACAACTCTTACATCATGAGAGGAAGCTGTAGTATGATGCAGACTACAAACATGCATCCACAGTGGAGTCTTACCACACTCTGTGCCCTTTGCTATACCACAAATGCCTACAATGTGAGCAATGTGCAACATGGTATGGCCATGTAAAGCACACCACTGCTCACACTCATCATACGATTCATTAGACAAATATGGGAGACAGCATTGTTCAGCTCTCACTTGATGGTCCAGCTCTAATCATCTTTCTGAGCAAAAATGGCAGCTAAGGCTGCTGGACGTATTGACTGGGTAAAGCACCCACTACAGGTCAAAGCTAGCCATGTTTTCCTGTTTTTTATATAGTACATTTATTATCTCTTTTCACATGCACAAGCATATGTACTAGTCACCAAACACAGTGACAGGGTTGTTGGCAGAGTTTCACAGTTAGCTTTTAATATGCCTTTAATATGAAATGAGAGCAAGTTTTTACTACTCAGCTCTTTATCGAAACAGCCTTAAAGCAACTGTCTTTGTGCATTCATCACAATGATAGTGAAAAAGAAAAAAAAAGTGAATTGACTGAAGTGCCTTCATACCCGAGATGTTTTTATGTTTTTAGCCTAACCTAAACACTCTCAATTTAAACTGAGATCGCCAAAGTATGTTTCAACACTTGCTTGATTTAATGAAAGTGTTGAACTCAACATCATATTGCTATGAAGCGTACTCGTCAATGTAGATGATGCAACAGGCAGGACACACAATGATTTTCACAGCAACTTCCGGCTGTAGCATGTAGGCAGGCACATAAATTTGTTCTCTATTTTACTGTACTGCATTTGAATGTCGGGGACGAAGTAAGCCACACAGTATAACTATTTTGTTGTGCATCTTATTTTGTTTATGTCTTCAGAACTGAAACAGCAGTATCAAAAATGCATCGTTAAATTTTTGGTACAAAAACTGTAGTTTATAAGCACCATAAAGTGACTGCTGAATGGCAGACAGCACCAATCCACATTTAATGAAACACTTCAATCCCCGCAACAGCCATCAAAAGAAAATGAAGTTGTTGCACACTTACACGTTTGATGCCTATGACCAACATTAGCGTGAAAAGGAGAAAGACGACACCAAAGCCCATGGTGCAGCCAGCTGCAACGTATATTCCTGGAATGACACAGTTCTTTTTCAGAAATGTTGCAAAAGGCAGCTACATAATGTTCCTGAAAGGAACTTACCTTTCATTGAAAGCTCGAAGTATGGACTGAAGAAATAATCAGTTCTTCCTCCGTTGATAGCATATATGGCATAGAATATGAATAAAACATGATACACCTGCAAGTTGAAGAACACGTAAAAAGAGAGGGTGTCGTAAGGCAAACATTTGACACTATACTTTGCCAAAATGCACATGGTGCAACATAGCTCTCTCTTTCTGATCACATAGTTGTGTGAATACTAGTTGAAAAACACTTACACAAGTTAACAAGATCATAGAAAATGGCTTTAATGAGCTCTTTTTCTGTCCATCCATCATGATCATCAGTCCTGACTACACCCACTGAAAGGCAAAAGCCTCTCCCATGTTTCGACATACAACTCAGTTTCTGTGCGTGCTTTGGCCACAACTTTTTGTCACCCCTTTGCGTGTTTGCCTTCTTTTGGAATCTGGTAGGTTACTCTTAATGACCAGCTTTTATCTTGCCTAAGCGCTATATGGGCCCTTCCCATGTCCATTTATTCTTTTCGATTTCAACGAAGACGTCTTTAACACCCATTTGTTCCCTTATCCACTCCGCTTTCTCCTCCCTTAATGTTACACCTATCCCTTTCCTGTCCTTTGCTTTCCACATCGTCCTGATTTTAAGTTAAACCCTAATTGTAAGCCTCCAGATCTCTTATACAGCTTTCTACCTATGCCAGTTCTCATACTGTACTTTATGCCGGCACCAAACACTCATTCATCGTTTCTACATCGTAACAGGAACTCTCGATAATGTTACTTCAGTGTGTTTAGCATTTGTCGCACTAGCAGTGCAGCAATATTTTCTTTACATGCACTTTTTTTTTTCAACTATGCTTTGAAAGATTCCGCCCCCCCTCTCCCCCCCCCCCCACACACACACTTAAAAAAAGCAATTTTTTGCAGTATGACTAAACATTAGTAATGTCTTAGAAAAGACCAACTTGTAAAGTTTTACGAACTTGAGAGCATCTGGTATGTAAACATCCTTTATTGATGTTGTTCGTTCTTTGATTAGAATTGACCAATTACTGTCTTAAATGTATTGTTTTATTTTAATTGTAGTAAAGCGCTATTCTCGTTTTAATGCTACTCGTTTTTTTTATTTTAATACCACATTTATTATAGTACTCCTTGCTAATGCCGGCGCTTAAGCTTGTTGCCTACATCGGTGCATCATGCCGCAACAATTCCGATCTCTGACATTTAAAATAGTACGGTTCAATCGACGAACTAAGCGGCAGATCGGGATCCTCATGGCTTCACCTCGAGCAAAACGACGCATTCTTTGCGAGAAACCCATGACTGATGCCACGTGCATTAACAGCAGTGCGCAGACATCAATCACCTACGAAAAACAATGCAGAATGGATTCTGCCACTACACGGCACAGCAGCGGTAGGCTCTTCCGGTTCGCGCATGTGCGCCTATTTAGGGCGGGCCAAGCGCCAGGGCGCGCTTCAACTCTCAGTAGAGCGAGCAAGAGATCAACAACCTTAGCTTGCACGTAGTGCAGCTTCACTACACCATGTGCATTTGTTTCCTCTAGTACACTAATTACGCATCTGTTTGGCCTGCAGTAACTCCAGGCTTCGCAATGAGACGCACAGACCTAGGAAATATCAATAAAAGCGTGCAAGTTACGAATCCATCGTTTGATGGCTAAATGACTCAACCACAGTGAGTAATTTAGCGCTAATGACACGCCTGGACTGCGGCTTCATGGCAACGCCCAAGCATTTCTCTGTAAAAGTAGCTGTGCGCGGTTCGTGCGTGTTAATCTAAGAAAAATAAATGGTAGGCACACGGAGCTTGAGAATACAAAACCGAGGATCAGAAATATGCTTACAGCTGTGTACATCGCAGAGTAAAAACTCCCATAGCGGAGGTTTGTCCAGTGGTACAGGAGGAAAGGCGTCCAGCAGCGACTTAGAAGTGGCATGATTGGTCTTTTGAGTGTCGTTAAATAAGTTTTCCGAGTACAGCGCACAATGCTACGAGAACGGTGGTTATGACGTGCATGTCTTTCACACTTAAATTAACGTTACGTAGCCGAACGGAGACGCCGCAACGACCCTTTGTTGACGGTTGACTTCAAACGGGCGCTGCTTCGCACGTACGCCGTCGCTAGAGGCGTTGCCCATTCCGCATACCTGTTTTAGGTCACCTGCTGCGAACCAACCAATCGGAGACTCCTTCCGCACCGGTTCGTTTCGTGCGTTGTAAAACGATACGAACGACACATGCGAAGTCGTGCATTTCGCTCTGCTCGGTTAGTTAGTGACGATGTACGGCAGTAAAAACATGTAGTATACAGGTCGCATGCAATGCCACACTCTTAAAATGCGTAAAAACCACAGCACGAAAGCCAACTTGGATATCGAGTCGTGCGCAGGGCTCACCACTCGTTTTGTTTTTTTTTTTTATTCACGCGGCGCGGCAACTATTAACGGCTAATAGTGTTCAGCACAGCTGAAACTGTCACAATGTTCCCAGCTGTCAGATGAAGAAGTCTTCTTGCAATGAGCACAAGTTGCCGTCATAGCGTTGCGTGCAGGAAGCCACGCACGACACGATGATACACCATCACTTTTCGGACAACGGAATGAAATCTGGTCCATGATGTCGTCTATCTTGCTCTGTAGTGTTTCCAAGATTTCTGCTGTAATGAAGACGTGTGTTTCATCCAAATCTTGGATGATGAACTTCTTTCCCAGGGCGTTGGTGTCGTCCAAGTGGAGTAGAAATTGCTTCATTGCCGGGTCGCACTCAACAAGTATACCTTTCATAACATGCACCATTTTGTATTTGTAGACTGGAGTTTCACTCGGCACTTCGCGGTGGTCAGGTATGTGAATCCACAGAACAAGGTCCCGGTAGAATCAAAAGCTATTAAAACATTTGACGATCCACAACAGTGCGCGCTGCCATGTCGAAATGTGACAGTTTTTGTTTGTGTGTTGCGCTGTTATCGCCCCTGGCGGAAACTTGCAACTTGAACCGTAAAAACTGTTAAAATTGTTATAAATTATAAATAAATATTACAGTTTATGTCAGTAATTATAAACAAAAATTATTTATATGTTTTGAAGGTGTAGTCATGTTCTGCAATAGTTAGCACAATCGTTCGACTTTAAATCTCAGAGGCCACAATAAAAAAAAAAAGCGTGGTAGCATGGTGCCATTTTCTGCGTAGAGATCGCGCCAGTGCCTTCGCTAGAAATTTATAAACGTTTTTCTTCAATTTCACGCTGAGAAAAAAAATTAATTTTATTAAAATAGTCATTAGACCAATTCAAAAAAAAAAAAACGAGCTTAGTTTGGCGTGATTTCTATTTTCTAATGTGCCGTAATATCCGAATAGCATTGTGTTTTCCTCGCATATTGCGATCTGAACAAGTTCGAACTAGTCTGGAGGTTAAAAAAGAAGAAAAACGTAGCGTTATTACGTAGAAGACAGCAAGCATCATTCTTATGAAATCGAGTATTTAGGAAGTTCTTTCTGCTACACAACTAATCATCTAACTCGCGTACTTGCATAATTTCCATGCGTTATCGCCGCTGTGCCGGCACTTCGCGGTCACAAGCAGCGTGACAACATGACAGCATTCTTGATAGAAAAGCGGAAGGAGCCGGCCCATGGGCTTCAGCAGGAGGGTGCAAAAGGGGTACTTCCCCCTCCAGCTTCAGCAGCACTTGACCACAGAATACCATTGACTTGACCTCACCCAAGCTACACCAGTGCTCTCTTCAACCCCACCTACGATGTAACTGAATATACGAACAGCGCAACTTAAAAGTAGTTACAGTGTAACTACTTTTAGGTTGCGCTGTTCATATATTCAGTTGTGTCCTACCAACTTGTGCAAGTTTCCACGCTTCATCACTACGATGGAACATTGGTTTGCACCCTCCTAAGAGCAAATCCTGCCGACGACTATGAGCCCGCCGGGTTTGCAAGAAAGGAAACGCAAGCGAGACAGATAGTGATGGTTGTGTAGCAGAGATACTCACCAGATACCCGATTTTTTTTTTTACTTGGAATTTGCACTCTATAGGCTGCTGAAGGTGTCTGGGACGTCTTTCCATCACAGAACAGTAATCGTCATCTGACTTGCCTGCGTTTCCTTTCTTGCAAACTGCGGGCTCCCTAGATTCTCATCCTATGCCACCCTGAAAGTTACCCTGAACTATCTTAAATTCCGTTATACCGTTATTTGTGCCCTTTGTCAACTTTGATTTGCCCAGAAGGCTATTACGGCTTCCCTAATTGGCGGAAAATGTATCCATTAGAGAATTTAATGATTTGGAAAACTTTGACACGGTCTAGAAATGCGCGCAGTGAAGTGACGGAACGCTACGAAAGCACGAGAGATGGGCGCCTTAGCTATTATCGTTATGCGGCAGAAAGACACCTCAAGTATTCCTTTTTTTTTTTTTGCCTAACACCCTAAGCTGCATTCGATCCAGGGTATGGTGTTCCATACCATACTCTGGATCACCCCCGTATACCCTGTCTTCTTGTCACGCGTTATCGTCATCTGGCTTGGTTGCGTTTTCTTTCTGGAAAACTCGGCGCTCGCCTCTGTCTTATCGAGAATGCTCTGTCACGCTGATAGTGCCGTTCGTGAGCGGGAAGTTCTGGTTCTCTATATTTCTGGGCATTCACGCACAAGCAAGAGCCCGCCGAAACGCACCCTCGGTAACAGGCATGACTATTTATTTACGTTTGCTTTTTATTCGAGATGTCGGCGGTGGTGAAATGACTGATAATAATTTTTTTTTTCGCGTCAGGCCGCAGCACGGTCATTTTTCTGTATCTGCTGCTGGGGGCTGAGAAGCAAACGAGAGGCATTGGCGGCAGCGGCGGTGTTTAATGTAGGCCTCTCCCCGTTTTATCTGCCTTGGCGGGGGTGATGAGCGCAGGTGCCTAAAATCAGAGCGTCGTATTGTGCCACACTGCTGTAAATCAGCGCTCTGTTCTTTCTTCTGGCCGGCTCGGCTGTTTCTTCACGCCGTTGTTGCGATGTGCCACTTCAATAGTAACACCATGTCTAGATGCTGTTTTGACTTTTGCTAATGTGCCACTTGCTGCGCTGTTTCCTCGTGCACGTGCGAACCTTCTGTGCTGCTGCCTTGCCTACGCCGACGATGACTGCGTTACCTAAGACGAGCCCTTACAGCCTGATGGCCACTTCTCGGGATGCAGCCAAAGTGAGTGTTACACACCATACTCGCATGCATGCCATTTGCGTTGATTTGAAGGTACAAGGAGGAACGCGAACGAAGCTGAGCTTCAGGCGCGCGCGAGATTTCCTGCGAGCATTTGCTGCCGTAGTGCCAAAACTGGGAACGAAGAAAAGCATATAGAATGGGAGCGGATATTCTCTACGTAGCCTTGAGTAACCACGCTCCCGTAAGTATACTGCGTATACTATAAGTATTTACATACATGTGCAAGTGCAGGGTTCTTTACTTGGAAAAGGGGGGAGGGTAAGTTTCTGCCCCCCGCCCACTGCAGCCCCGTGGCTTGAGTCCTAAATAAAACGAGCTCCGATGCAATGCTTCGCGTGGAACTGATCTGCCACTGATCTTCAGTTTTATGGGTAAATGCGCCAAGTAAACAGTTCTTTGAATGCAGGCATCAGGACTCACTGGTCGTCATTAGCGTCAAAAATCATACTTCGCCACAACCATGCGCATTAAAGAAATGACGTGGAAGGTTCGAATGCGTCAAGGTATACGGGGTGGAATTGGCGCCCCGCTTTAAAGGCCTATAGCCCCCACTAGGGCGCTTCCTCTCCCCCCCCAAACGCCCTCGTTCTCACTGTTATAGTCACAGTGCAAATAGTTCTAACTGATCGGGTTGTTGGGCCGTATCTACAAATGAGAATTTACTCTGTAAGACTGCGTGGTGCACATGGCTCCCAAAATCCCCCCAAAGCAGGAAAGGCAGCATAGTTATCTTCGCATGTGTTTCTTTTTATGTAGTCGTTTATTGAAATAACAAATGACGAAGGAGTTGTCGCCATGTCTTGGTGACGGCTATGCTTTTCCACTCGGGCGTTCGCTTGCGATGTGAGGCTCGAAAGCCGTGAGATATGTTGCGGGTGCTGACATGACAAGGCCGAACAAAAGTTTTGCACCGTTCTTCTGAATTCGCTGCTCAAAATGACTATACAGGTGGGTCTGGCGTGAAAACGGCGGAGCTTACGTCCGTAAAGTGAAGGGACACCGGGCAATCCCCATCCACACATCGGAGTCATTGCGGTCTTTTGAAATGACCACCACTTGCCCTGGTATAAAACCTTGTCCTCGTCATTCGTGCATCCTGTGGGTGCGCGTTTCTTTTTCTGATATGATTGCATACCAGGTGTGGAATTTAATGCCGACGCAAGGAGATTAATCCATGCAGCTTGAAATTTAATACGTTTTTTTTTTCGATTAACGGCAGCAGCAGGCGAGCATGTCCACGCTACGCTCGCCTGGATAGCGAAGCAATGATGATCTTCTAAGCTTATCAACTTGGTTTTCCAACCACCGCCGGTGACGTAATCCCCCGGGGACGCTGCGGTGGCGCTGTCGCTTATCGGAGACGCTGTGAAGCGTGCAGCCGTGTTATGCCGGACTCAGTGATAGTGAGTTTGAGGCTGCGCGCCGTTATGCGCACACTGCCACACAGGGAACACCTCGCGTATCAGAGCAGCGCCACGTTGCGTTAACAGTGGCAAATCATTTGATTGATATGTGGGGTTTAACGTCCCAAAATCACCATATGATTATGAGAGACGCCGTAGTGGAGGGCTCCGGAAATTTTTTCACCACCTGGGGTTCTTTAACGTGCACCCAAATCTGAGTACACGGGCCTACAACATTTCCGCCTCCATCGGAAATGCAGCCGCGACCTGCGGGTGAGCAGCCGAGTACCGTAGCCACGAGACCAACTCGGCGGGGCTGGCAAATCATTTGCTTTCGTTTGAGTGTGCATTGTCCGTCACGGTGGACAGTGGCTACGGTGTCCTGCTGCTGACCCGAAGATCGTGGGTTCGATACCGGCCGTGGCTGTCGCATTTCGGTGGGTGCGAAAAGGTTGAGGCCCGTCTGTTGTGCGATGTCAGTGAGTGTTAATGAACGCCTGATGGTCGA